TTGCCCACAAGGTTTAGATGAAGTCAAGCTGGAATAGGGGGCCTCTGAATGCAGCCTGGCTGATGTCTTTGTCAAACATGGACATTTATACTTGGACACACAGACACACAGGGGGAAAAAAAAAAGAGGCATGTGAGGATGGAGTCAGCAGATGGAGTTGTGCTGCCATCAGCCAAGGAGAACTGAGTGACTGTCAGTAGCAGTTAGAAGTGAGAGAATAAGGATTCTACCCAATGTCTAAGAATTAGTACAATTCTGACAATGCATTGATTTCAGGCATCTGGTCTCTCAGACTGTGAGTGAATGCATTTCTGCTGCTGTTAGCCTCCATGTTTGATATAACTGACTAGGGAGGCCCTAGAAAACCACTGCAATACTCAAGCCTTCCCTTAGATTTCACACTACTTGGCTGCTCTGAGATCCTAGCTGCCTTATAGATTAAAATGTGATTGTAATGTTCCATATCACTCAATCCTCTGACCCTGTGGAATTCTTCAGGTCTTGGCCCTGACTCCTTCCTTTCTTTAATCTTTGGTGGTAATTACTGTATTTGTAAGCATCATACAGTTTTCCCTGGTCAGCAGGCTTTTAAAAAAAGTTTTATTCATTTTTTACTTGGAAAGGCAGATTTACAGAAAGAAGAAGAGACAGGGAAAAAGATCGGTCTGCTGGTTCACTCCCCAGGTGGCCACAATGGCTGGAGCTGAGCCAATCTGAAACCAGGAACTAGGACCTTCTTCCAGGCCTTCCATGTGAGTGCAGGGTCCCAAGATCTTTGGCCATTCGCGACTGCTTTCCCAGGCCACAAGCAGGGTGCTGGAAGACCGAGGAGCAGCAGGGATTAAATCCGGCTCCTGTATGGGAATTATCCATTAGGCTATCGCACTGGGCTTGGTCAGTAAGCTTTTGGAGAAAAAGTTTTAAAGAAAAGCAGTCCAGGCACAATATGAGACACTGTGGTTTACACATGGGTGACTGTCTGGAGAACCTTACAAGATAAGCTGACGGGGCTTCCCAAATAGTTTATCTGATGTCAAATGATGTTCACACACTAGAGAAATCCCCAAGATGCAGATGTAGGGCTTTGGTTTCCAGCAGGCTCCATGCAGAGGTCTGCAAAGAGGCATTTCAATTAAGTGTACTGTGGACCACTGCTCCTTACCATGTGCTTTGGTGGTGATAGAACAGTCACTAATCCCCTCAGAAAAAGATGGAAATGGCTCCCCAGAAACCTGCACGTACTGGCCATCCGCTCAATTGATCAGACAGTCTTACCCGTTACATCTCTGCCTGCTGGGACTGGAATGAGGAGAGCCTTCTAAATTGGTTTGCCAAGTAGGCAATCGTATTTTCACTCGAGAGAATGTGAAGGCAATACACTGGGGATCTGTTCCACTTCCTTTCCCCTGTCTGTTATCCTAATGTGCTCCCCTCCTCCCTCCATATGTTTTGCTTCTGGCTAATTTCTCTCTTCTCTGGATTAGTTCTTTTCATTTATTCATTCCCTGTCCTGCTCTTTGATATCCTTTCTTGCCTTTTGTGTTGCTTTCTGAATTGTCTCAGGCTTGTAGCCACAAGGGGCAGCTGAATGCACTTGGCACTACAGTCTGTACTAGATCTTACTGGCTTGCCTGGAATAAAGAAGATCCTTCTAACAGGCCACAGTTCTCTCACTACCAACTAACAGAGACTGCAGTGCCTGACTCAGAATCAAGCCAGAGCATCCTCATATTTGTGGAGTGAGTTGTTGGCTTGATCAAGTACTTAAAAAAAAAGATTTATTTATTTTTATTGGAAAGACAGACAAACAGAGAGGAAGATCTTGCATTTGATGATTCACTTCCCAAGGGGCTGCAACGGCCAGGGCTGTGCTGATCTGAAGCCAGGAGCCAGGAGCTTCCTCTGGGTCTCCCATGCAGGTGCAGGGTCCCATGACTTTGGGTCGTTCTCGACTGCTTTCCTAGGCCACAAGCAGGGAACTGGATGGGAAGTAGAGCAGCTGGGATTAGAACTGGCGCCTGTATGGGATTCTGGCACGTACAAGGTGAGGACTTTAGTCACTAGGTTATCATTCTGGGCCCCAAGTGCTTTTGTTTTGATTACATCTATATTTTGAATGGGAAGTGGCCTGGACCATGTTCTCAGCCTTCTTGACCAAGAAAGACTTCAGAACAAACAAAATGGACCTAATCTAGCAAGGTAATATTTGACAGGTGTGTATTTTAGGCATGAAAAATCTACTACTTTAGTTAAACTTTCTACCTGCAATGCTGGCAGCCCATCTGGGCACTGGTTTGTGTCTCAGTTCATCTACTTTATATCTCTGTTAAAGGCTTTGGAAAAGCAGTAGAAGATGAGCCAAGCGTTTGAGCCCCTGCTACATGCATGGGAGACCAGATGAAGCTCCTAACTCCTGGCTTTGACTTCTCAGTCCTGGTCATGGAAGCTCTCTGGGGAGTGAACCAGCAGAAGATCTCTCTCTATATAACTCTGACTTTAAAAAATGTATCTTTAATAAATAAGTAAAGCTATTACTTGGGATCAGGTGACTTGGCAGTACTGGGGCAAAGATAAAAGAACAAAACTAAACTTGTCTCTAGAATCTCAGTGTTCATTAAAACTTGTCTAGGTGGCGTCCTTATTACATCTGCATCCATCTTAGGGTAGGATACCAGAAAATGGGCTACATGAGATTCCAGGGAGCTGGGAGATGATCACGAAGATCAAGATTGAGAACTGTTTGTGTGGCAGGTTGACTGCATAAATATCCTCAGTTATACCCTCTTCCCTCTTTTCATAAAATTTGCATTTTAACCATGCAACTTCTCCCCAAAGAGGTCATGGCTTTGTCCATGCTTCGATCAATCCTCATGATTTACTTTGACCTATACAGAATATTGTACATGTGACCAGACACCAGTTCTGAACCTAGGCTTTGCATAATTCCACATGTTCTCTCTTTTTTTAAAGATTTATTTTATTTTTATTACAAAGTTAGATATACAGAGAGGAGGAGAGATAGAGAGGAAGATCCTCAGTCCGCTGATTCACTCCCCAAGTGAGCGCAACAGCTGGTGCTGCACTGATCCAAAGCCAGGAGCCAGGAACCTCCTCCAGGTCGCCCATGCAGGTGCAGGATCCCAAGGTCTTGGGCTATCCTCAACTGCTTTCCCAGACCACAGGCAGGGAACTGGATGGGAAGTGGGGCCACTGAGATTAGAACCAGCACCCCTATGGGATCTTGGTATATTCAAGGCAATGACTTTAGCCACCAGGCCACTGGGCCGGGTCCTCTACACTTTCTGTTAAAATCATGCCTCTGCTGTGTGAACAAGCCCAGGTTAGCTTGCTGAATGAAGAGAAACACATAGCCCAGGAGTGCCTGCTTTCTGGTTTTGATACAGCCAACTGCCACACAACAGGGTGGACTGTGTTAGACCATCTCCAGGTGAGCTGATACATACACTGGCAAATCCATATTATTCCAGCTGACCTCAGCTAAGCTTGGCCTGGCTGGGCACAGTGCTTCCTCTGATTGTTGGGTTACAGTAGTGGCTGTATTTTAAGCTACAAAGACTTTGATGGATATGCTAGGTTGCAGCAGCCAGTTGAAAGCACGTCCCATGAAAAATTGTTAACGCAGCTGATGACATGGACCCTGCAGCAGAAAGATGTGGGGAGTATGATAGCTCTGGTGCTTATGAAGAGCAGAGAAACCTAACATCTGGGAGTTTTGGAAGCCCATTGATCTGATAATAAAGCAAAGTGGCTGCTTAAAGAACAGGAGCAAAAGATGGGCATTTCTAGTAGGGCCACGGAGAACCATGGCTGGCAGTGACTTAGGGAAACTGTTCCTGGGAGAGTGTTCTGCCTGGGCAGCAGCAGCTTAGAACAGTGCTCTGGAGTGGCCTTCCAGAAGCTGAGGACTGATGAGTGTCTGGCTGGAGGGGGGTGTGAGGTGTGTTAAGGGAATGGTGTGGGAGGTCCCAGAGAAAACCCACAGATATACTGTAGCAAAGCAATCCGAAGACACCAAGATCCACACACAACAGTGTCTGTGGAGTCATGTCTCTACCTGCCTCTCTATTTGCATTCAGCAGTGGAGAGTCAGCGCCTCCCTAGGGGCATGGGGAATACGATAGGTGTGCTAGACGGGCTAATCTGGAAAATGGCAATGTCTTCTTCCCTACACGGCTCCTTTCCAGCCTGGACTGGCAAAGGGAAGAAATTTTACCTTTAGATGCAGCTAGAGCTTTGTTTTGCAAGAATATGCACTTGCTGAAATGAAATGACTTTGTGACCAAAAGTGACTGAAGGGTCTGTGTAAGATCTCATTGATAGGCAGAGGGAGGACCAAGACTCACCACTAGGATTAAGACTTTGAAGTCTAACTTATTTAATTACACAGTCACAGGTGTATGTATATATGACCCCTGCATGCTTTATTATAATTATTTTTGGTAGATTTTATTTTTAGAGCAGTTTTAGGTTCATAGTAAAATGGAGTGGAAGGTACAGAGATTGCCCATTTACTTCATGTCGCTATACAGGTGCAAGCTTGGTCATTATCAGCAGTCTCTATTAAAGAGGTACATTTGTTACAGTTGATGATCCTACACCAAGATGTGATCATCACCTAAGTTCATGCCTTACATAGGGCTCACTCTGCATCCTGCATTCTAGGGGTTCAGATACGAGCACCATGACACAGGCTCATCACTATGAGGGCACACAGTGCAATCACTATCCCACGTCCTTCCCGCCTTCCATCCCTTCCTCTCATCAATCCCTGGAAAATGCTGACTTTCTACTCTCGATGTAGTCTTACTTTCCCAGATGTAATGTAGGTAGAATCCCACAGTAGGGAATCTTTTCTGATTGGTTGTTTTGACTCAGTTCTATGTCTTTGGGTTTCCTCCATGGGTTTTTCCTTCCTTTTAGTGCTAAATGAAATTCCATTGTCTGGATGTGCCACAATGTATTTATCTATTCCTTTGTAGCAGGGCAGCTGAGTCCATGTTTTGGCAATTATGACCCAATGCTGCTGTTACATCTTCGTGCTGGTATTTATGTAAACAGATGCTACCAATATCAAATATGGGTAAATATCAAAGTATGATTCCTTGTTTGTGTGAGAAGAGTATGTTTCATTTGGGACTGGCATTCTGGTACAGTGTGTTAAGCTACCATCCACAACAGTGGAATCCCTTATGAGTTCTGGGTTCATGTCCTGGCTGCTCCACTTCTGATCTAGCTCCTTGCTAGTGCTTCTCAGAAAGCAGTGGAAGATGGCCAAAGTGCTTGAACCCCTGCAAACCACATGGAAGACCTAGAAGAAGCTCCTGGGAGCCTCTTACCACCCTGTGAGTCATACAGTTTTCGCAGCTGGTGTCTTCCCAATCCTGGGCACTGCTGGAACCTTGGGCAGGAGAAAGGCTGAGCAAACAATGCAGCCACATCAAAGGATCACAGGGGGCCAAGAGAGGTGGCCAGGGTGTGCTGGTTGCAAAGGCCACAACAGGAGTCTAGCACTGGAGTGCGAGACTAAAGCTATTTGGAGGGAGTGGCACAAGTGACACAAATGAAGAACCAGGCACTGAATGGGACTAGTAAAGTCCATCTGGTTCCTGGCTTCAGCCTGGCTTAGCCCTGACTCTTGTGGCTTTTGGGGAGAGAACTGGTGGATGAACAATCTCCTCCCCACACCTCCCGTCTCTCTCTGTCTTTGTCTCTCTCTCTCTCTCTCTGTGTAACTCTGCCTTTGAAACAAACAACGGAGTATGCTTAGTTTTGTAATTAATGACCAAACTGATTTGCAGAGTGAACCTCACAACAATGAGTGAAGTTTCATTTGTCTCCCATTCTTGCTGGCATACAGCATCCTCATTATGGGTTTTGATCACTCTAACTGGTGTGTAGTGGTATCTTATGGTGCTTTTGTTTGTATTTCGCTGAAGGCATGATGTGGAGAATCTTTCCACAGGTTTATTTGCCACCTGTATACATTTTAAAAATTGCATTGTTTTCTTATGGTTGAGTTTTAAGAGTGCTTTGCATGTTTTGGAAGATAGTTTTTTTTTTTTAAATCAGATTCATGTTTTGCAAATCTTTTCTTCTAGCCCTTCTAGCAAGTGATAGTGTACCAGGCTTACTGCTCTGTACTTTGTTTTACTAGAAATATTTTGGAGCCTATACTTTGGAACATGTGAACAGACTGCATGTCTCTGAGAAGTTCATTCTGACTATGACACTCATGAACCTGTCTGCTTCCCTCAGCACTTCTGTGGTGAAACCTGAGGTCATTGAAACCCAGGCACTTGGGAGAAGCAGAAAAATTCAGTTCCATCCTTCCCTGTGGGCAATGAATTGTATCTCAGTATTTGAAAGTTCTCATTTAAAAAGCATGAGATTTATTCCCTTTCTGAATCATACCCTAGATGCAATTTACAGTTTAATATCTAAGCCATTTCACTATTTAATCAAAAAAGAAAAGTCAGAAGGAAGAAAGGCAGCAAATGCTGGTAAATGGTAACCAAGAAAACTAGCTTACAAAATGCTATTTTCAATGCCTCCATCCTTCAGGAGAACTTTAAAAGAGGACCGACATCAATGCAATGTAATAGCAGATAAATGGATTTGTTTCTGATTTAAAAAACACATTTCTGGGATGATGCATCATCTCTATGTGGCAGTTTTCTGCCTGAGGTGACAAACTGAATTTGAAAAGTTTTATAAAAGGATCTAATAATTCCAAGTCACATGCCAGGGGCAGGATGGCCACAATGAAGTGCAATCACTGAGAAGTGGGAGGAACCCAAGGACTAGAATCCAGATAGACCTGGGTTTGCATTTCCTAACTGTGAGTTCCCGAGGAAATATTTGGAACCCTTGGACTTTTAGTTTCCTCATCTGTAAAATGGAATTCACAAAATCTGTCATGTAGAGTTGTTGCATGGATTGAATGAGAAAAATAATAAATTATAGGCTTGGCTCATAGTAAGAGTTAGTTCAAAATAATTTAAAAATCACATCCAACAAAGCTCTGGTGGTTTGGGCAATTTTTTGACTGCTTTATGGCCTCCAGCGCATTCTCAACTCCCAAGGAATGGTCTACTGAGGAGAGATAAACAGGAATGCTGCTAGAACATCTGCATTTTATTCTTAGATAGCAATTTGGTTAATTGGTGTGGGTGGTTGCTTGTCAGTCAACCCTTGTTTTTAAAGACGTATTTTCCTAAAGTATGTTTTATAATGTGAGAGGGAAGTAGGTAGATATAGAGATAGGGAGAGGTCTCCCATCTGTTGGTCCAGTCCCCTAAGTGCTCACCATGTTTGGGGCTTGGCTGAGCAGAAAGCAGTAGCTGAGTTTGACCCAAGTCTCTTGTATTAGCAGCAGGAACCCACGCTACTTGCATCACCACTCCTGCCTCCCAGTGTGTGCATCAGTAGGAAGCTGGATTCAGGAGCGGAGTTGGGTATCAAGTCCAGGCATTCCAATATAGACTGAGGGCATCTTGACTACTAAGCCAAACACCCATAACCGTTGATTCACAGAGTGTGTGGGCACAGGAGAAACATGCATGGAAGATTGGAGTGCAAATCACTTTGGGGCTATAACTTTCAAGAACTGTACCCGTGCAGGGAGGCTGCTTGATGTTGAAGAAGTATGGTCTTGGAGGTTTGTAGATGTAGGTTCCAATCCCGGCTCCGACACAGAGCCAACTGTGAACTTCCTGTTACTTTTAGTTGTAGCAAAATATTAGGTTGTGAATGCACTTAGTGCTACGCTTGTGAGGGTTAGCTGAAGTAGTCTATGTAAAGGTTCCAGTGAACTCTGTAGCCTACTCACAGTGATGGGCACAGCAATCAGAAAATAGCTCTGAATAGTGTTTGGTCAATGAGCTTAGGGTATCACCAGCCTGTCCAAGGCAAAGGATAAGGAGAAGAATACCGAAGAGGGAGACGAAGGCAGAGGGTCCAAGGGGATAAAGAAACGGAGGGAAAAAAAAGAAAATACAAAGGAGAAATGATAAAGGAAAAACTGTAAGAGAGGAATAGAAAAAAAGAAGTCGAGGTTAAAATTTAAGCACTATACTCAGATGGATAAGAAAAGGTGGTCTGGTTTTGCCTTGATCAGCACTTTCAACAGATGTGGAAAACACCTACTACATTTGCTTGAATCCAGCAAATCCATGTTCATAAGCACGAAGAGCCCCTTTGTGGGCAAACACATGCTTGACTTAAGATGCAAACTTCCAGGGGCTTCTTTCAGCTTTGTCAGGCATTTTTCTCTCTCCTTCTCAACATGGTGTCTGGATGCCGCTCAGCTCTTACAGCTGACGGAGCCATGGTCTCTGATGCCTGGTTCCCTTATGGTCTTTTGCAGAGGAGCCTTGGGGCATTCAGTGTTGCTGTCGGGTGGCCACTGCCTGCTGGTGGAAGTAGCTGGGGACCAAGCAGCAGTGGCTCCACTCTTGGGGCCCTGCTCACAGGCAGATTCCTGCTTTATCTGTCACCCCTTCGGCCTCCCCTCCAACCCCTGAAGCTTGCAAATTCTGAAAATCTTCATGACACATGAGGCCATGAACAATCCGAAGGGAAAGTGCTAACTCTGGCCCTCCTGTGTGGTATTGAGGCCTTGCTACAACATGACTGCAGTGGGGTGCTGGACTCGGTGTCTCCCAAAGGCGGGGGGTCCTTTGAATCCTTTTAACCAACCTTGCACTGAGGTGCCAGGGTCATCAGAGGTTGGGGTTCTGAGCCTTCTCTCAATGAGCTTCAGCATCTTTTGTAGTCTCACCTCTTCTAAATAGGTCTCAACAGTTTGCTGTTAGGGGCCCCCTTTACATTGCTATAAATTATCATAAACTTCATTTTCCCTTAAGTAGGTTATCATGTTTACTGCACTGCAAATTTAAAAAGTTTAAAATTTATAGATTTAGTTAGAAACAATTTGAGCTTATTTAATGTCAACGTAATATTTTCAAGTGTAGGTCAGTGAAACCACACTGACCCAGCTGTCGCGCCCACGTGTCTTATCATCCGGCGATAAGAGGCAGACGCGAGTGAAGTCTTCTGTGGTAATCTTTATTGCGCGCACCAAGATGAGGAGGAAAGGCTCCGACCCCGGCAGGCTGTCTGCTCTTATGTGCTGACTGGCCCCGCCTCCACCGATGATAGGTCGGCGTCATGATTACGCAGGGTCCTGGGTGACTGGATTCGTCAGTCCCAGTGTTCATGCGCCGGCCACGCCTCAGCTCACTGTGCATGCGCTAGGCGCCTGCGCAGTACCGCGAAAGCTACGTAACTCTCCATCAGGAACCAAGGTGTGGCTTTTCCAGCCGGCGCCATTTTGGGTACGGCATGTGGCCAGTACATACAGATGCGGCTGGCAACACCCAGCCACACAGAAACTGGAAATCAAAGGCAGGAATGCACTCCCACAGGACTGATGGAGAGAACACTTCCACCGAGAACAGACAGACTAAAATAGAGATTCCATGGGGCGGTGTAAAGAGAGGAGAGAAGCAGCCTCACTGGCTGTATCGCTGGCCACCTGGCATGACCGGCTCCACACTGGTATATGCCACCTATCCAAGATAAAGTAGGAAGAAACTGCTACAGCCTTTGACACCAGCGTCTGTGTCTGAGGGAGAATTCCACAGTCCCTCTGGCTTTGGGTCCAGAGAGAGCAACACGAGACTGGGTAGGCACTTCGCTTCATGATGGCACACCATGTTGTCTTTTCCTTACCCCACGTAAATGCCAGACTCAGTTTACTGTGGTGAAGTTGCTGCTGAACTCGGTTATAACTTAGGGGTCAGAGGAAAGTCCTGTTGCTGCCGGAGACCACCAGAGCCAACGCTGGGGATCCTTGTGGGATATACCAGGCTTCCTGTATCCTGTGACTTTAAAGAGTCTGGTGCCGGGAGGTTGTAGACTGTACCTGGGTTTTCATGCACCCATCCAACCTGACTGCAGAGACTTAGAGCTTCCTGCACACAAACCTCATGGTGGAGTCAGGAGACACACTGCAGAGTGAATTCGGTGCTCTGGAGGGCTTGTGTGCTCGGGTGGGGCCAAATGTTCTAGCACCATGAACTCAATCCAAGCTGTGGATTGGCTAGTTCATCATGGCACAGAGAAAATCTGAGATTGTGAATGCACAAGCTGGTCCCAACATCTCCTCCCCCGCTGACTGCT